TTGTTTTTGTTTTTTTTGTTTTTTTGGTCTTCGATAAACTTGTATAGGTTTGTCAAGAGACACAAAAATCTTCTTGGTTGTTCAGCCATCCTCACAAATATCTCCTTGCTCTTGATTAGATAAGTTTAATTTGAACTACGAACAACTACAATACACTGAAAGTATTTGAAAGTTGCTCGACAAAGCTACCCGCGATGACCGCGAAAACACGATTCGCTTCGACAGTGGTTTGCGATTGGACGAAACGCTTTTTTCACGCGTGACAAATCGTTTCGCTTTTCTGATTGGCTAGAAAAGTCATGAACTTGTTTTTCACACAGGGAAATTTGATAAGAAAATCTCAGTATGTATAAAATAAAGTAATTTCCAAACTCGTTTTACTCGTTCCATGTTTCATTAGCGTTTCCAAACACGAGAAAATATTTGAAAGCTAAAGGCCGTATAAAGGTCGAAACTTTCGCATTTGTTTCTGGAATATTACGTTACTACTTTACGCAACATAGATAACATCTCTTTAAGTATAAACTAAGCTATGCATTTAGTTACTCGTTTCTAATTGATTAATAATTAGTTAATTAGTTGATTAATTAACTTTGTTTATAGAGGATAACRCGTGACAGTAATTCAACTGATAAACTCTAGTTAATTAGGGACGGGACCGCCATTAGCGTGATCATCCGAGCCACGTGAAGGTCTAACCATTTGCAGATGTAATTACAAAGGTAGCACCTTCTCCTCAGTTATTTTAAGACCCGGAGTGTTGGTCCGGCGGAGGCTTGAACAACGACCTCCCGCACAACAGACCGCTCTTACCAATTGAGCTAGCCGGCTGGCGGTGACAATCTGTTGTTATCACTTCGGAACGAGTTACTAAACCTCACCTACTTATATTTATTGATCATGATCACCATAATACATCAATCGTTGATAGCGAAGTATTCAATAAAATTGATTAATCTAATATTTTAAAAGTCAATTTTATCATTAGATATCAGTTATATCATAAATCCTCGAAAACAACAAACAAAACAAATCTTTTGGTGCAGGATTGTTGCATTTACATACATAGTTCACACTTAAATTGTGCCCCCGGCATTATCCAAAAACCTTAACTAAGCCATGCACTGCGGATACATGACAATGGAATCTAATTTAACAATTCAACTTTAGGAATTTATTGAAAACCAACATGTTTTGTGATTTGAAAACATAATCTTATACATGGCCAGAAATTCCGAATAGCCCTGCGCAGTAGGGTCACCAGACCTAAATATTAAGACAATTCTCCCACAGGATTTTCAGTCGATATTTCTCGATTTTTGACATCTTAAACTTCTCATATGGACGTCATTTTGAAAGAAACGATATGGAATTGTCATATATAACTGTTGTTTCGCATAAAGAATTTAATTCTTAATTTGGTTTTAGAACTCCATTAACGTGTCATTTTGAAGACACAACATAACCGCCATTTGTAAAATTCAGCGCAAACCTGTGTCCATTGAAGAGTATTTATTGATTTTGTGTAAAGTAAATCTCTTCGTATGCATATCATTCTGACGTTTGGTCTCTCGTCTACAATTTTTCCATCATTGCTTCAGATGATCAATCACTCAATTGCAGTCCAAGGTGTCCTTGGCATAGGCATGCAAATAACATCCTGGCAACTAAAACCCAAATAAATACCGGACCAAAATTCGGGCGAAATATACGATGCTTAACTTTCCGAAAAACTAATGTCCGATTATTCTAATCCACAAGGCCTTTGGCTATCTTTCGCAGACCAGCCAAATATTCTTCCTAAGCAGTGACAAGGACATTGAACTCATAAGAGCTGCCGAAATAATTGGCATTATATGTTGAAGTCTATGGAAAGAACTCACTCTATTATCTTACAGATATCCACAACGTCAAATTATTATTATCTAATTTTTTTTTTCCTTCCGTGTTTATTTCACTAATGGCAATATTCCTTCTGTTGATAAAATGTTTAGCACGCGATAGAAATCTTTTTCTTTTAAATACAAATAGAGAAACGTGATTGAGCCAATAAGAAACAAGCATTAAAATAAAGTGATTGACGTCAGTAACTTGATGACGTATTAAGATCATTACATTTTGATTCGGAATTTCTTGCAATAGCTAAATTTTAAGTGCGGAGTTTATTTCTTAATGTGTTGGCTACAGTAAAAGCTTATCAATTAGAACTGATATCTGTTCATGGTAATTTGCCGTCACAGAAACGAGAATAGATCATTTTCGCGTTTCCAGATATCTTATTCTGAAAATCGCTCCACTTGATAACATTCCCTTGTGCTGTTGAACATTTGTTTGCAATGGTTGTTACCTCGTTTGGCGTCAGTACCTTGTCCCACATGTTAACGCTCGTAAGTTTTCCTTGATGGGACTGAACGCGTTCAAAACCTCCTTTGTACGAACTCTGCATTTGTCCAAGAACAACTGTGCCTTTCTGAATCACATGACCTGATCTCCTGGTACCTTGACTTTTCGAGATCCCATCGAGGTAAAACGAGAATTTGCCATCCACATTGGTCCACGTTACACAGATGTGATGAAACTGATCATCAAGGACAAAAGGAATCTCATTAAAGTAAATAAAAGAAGAGATTCCATCTGAGTGAAGGAAGTGATATAGATAGTAAAACCATTTTTGTTGGTCCATTTTGATTGTACTCATACAAGTTATGGGAGAGGGCCTGGTGGAGATCTCAAATAAACTTCAACAGCACAGGGGTGAGAGGGCCTGAGAGTGTAGGAAATAACAAATTAAAGGGAGCAGCCCCTCCAAAAGTTTTTGAAATTTTGAAATTTTGAAATTTACTTTAATATACAGTTGTAACTTACCCTTTCCGTTTATGTAACCAAAATTCCATTTTATCAGGTTGTACTGTAATGTAAAGCTCATCGCTAACGGTAACCGTTGCGTAGCTGAACGGTGTGTGAACATTATTTGTTGTATCGGTTTGTACCCACATGCTGAGGGTAAATGCTGTCAAGTTCACGAATGGGTTTTCGTAAAGAGCCATAGCAGTAATTGTTTTGTTTGGAAAATGCAAGACTGAATGATCTGAAAAGAAAACAAAAAAATCCGATTGAAGAGACTATACTTGTCAAGTGCATGGACCTTTATAACCCTTAAAGTCTCCTTGCTAGTATTATTTATATCAAGAATGCTAATGAGTATTAGAACCTCATATAAAGTTGTCATGCTTATCAGTGCTCTTTATTATGAAGAATAAAAATGAGAACAATTTTATCACGGATTAAACTGCATCCAATGAGCCATTTGCAGCTCAATAATCACGTGCTGATTAATTTACTGGTTTTGATTGCCATGGGTGAAAGCTACAGGAGAGCAAACGCACTTTACACAACCTGTTTCGAGAGATCGTAATAAAACTGCATTTCGAAACACACTTGCTACACATCGTTTAATTCAGTTCAAAAGAATCACCAATTTAAAATAAAAACAAAAAATTTGGCTCCCCAGTACAGACACGTGATCGTTAAGGTTGTCTTGACTTTGTCATGCGGACGTACAATTATCACTGCGAATGGTTTTATTGGTGTACAAACTTCTATCGAAATAAAAAGTCCATGTTTGCAACATATACTTGGTCGCTTTTATTCGACCAAAGGTTCCAAAGGTTTGCAAATTATTTCTCAATTTTTGAAGCTGTTCAAAAAAACTTGCAGATCTTGTCGGCTACGCTTCGTGACTTTAAACCCGATAAAACACATCTGCTCGGTTAATAAAAAGCACTCATATACATTTCAAATCAGCCCTTGTTCTAAAATACTTTATGCAAATTGCAAAACTTCGATTTGCAAAATAAATATATTTATATAAGTGCTATAAATGTAGCAGTCTGACTAATTGAGAACCGCGCACACTTTCCGTGCGTAATTCCCATCTGAAATAACGGTTTTAGTAATTTGGTATTTTATAAAAGAAATAAAAAAATTGCTTGTTGTGCTGTATAAAATTATAAAGCATTTGGGGATTGGCAAAACACGCGAGAAATTTCTAGAAGCACTACGCTACGCATGTGCTTCTCTTAAGACTTCGCTCGTGTTCTGTCAGCCCCCGCGTGCTTTAAAACTGCACACAGGACATGCGCGCGTTTTTTATTTCTTCATTATATGAATAGAATACATGTATTATGAATCCGTCTGTCTTTTTCTAAGAAAGAGAACTATCGGTGACCTGTGATTCTAAATGTCACCTTTGGGATCATGGGCGTGTTACCTAGATGCGCAATTATTAATGAATTAATACAAACAAGACTAAAAGAAAAAGAAAAAACAAACAAACAAACGAACAAACATGAAGAAATACATTTTGCCAATCATATACATCAAACGTAAAAATACGCAAGTGTCATTTTCTGTCTCAGAAAAGCATTCATCTAGTCTTTGTTTCTCAGTTTCATGCTTGCTCGATTGATTTACCTTTACCTAAGCATTTGTAGTCCTGGCCGTTCTTGGTCACTTCACACTTAAGAGGATAACTACACAGTTGGTTACTGCACCTTGTTACTGCTCGCATAAAGTAGTTCAAGTATTGCCAACCAGCTGAGTAGACCAGGCTTTYAGGGTTAGTCAAGTGATTAGCATTATTCACCTCACATATCCCTTGACTGGAGTAGTAGTTAATGCTGTGGCAAGCTGCATGCAATGCACATTTGTCACTACACTGATCGCTTGTTTGTACAGCGGAGTAGCTTGCAACCACTTGACCTATCAGTTTCATATTGCGTTGAGAATAAAGAGAGGGACAACTATCTGCTAATGCTTGCAGCAGCAATGGGAACAAGAAGAGTATGACCAGGAATTTATCCATTGTTAAGATTGAAAATGCGGTACAATTTAGCTTCAAGACAAAAAAAAAAAAAAATTGTTACACATTCAGGTAATGGATCTTTCATTGAAACATTTATGCCTACTCCTGACATACATTAAAGGTTTAAGCTATAACCACATAATTCATACGACTTTAGAACTAGTTATTTCATGGGATTTTAGGCTGCCCATTTTTGACAGGTAAACATGCAGTCGATTTTCCTGAACCCCCAAGAATACTTGATTTAGCCTCAATCTCATAAATCCTGTCCGCGAATATTAATGAGGAGCCGAGTTTTACAAATCTTGTTCGCCTTTAGGAAGCTATCGTAACCGGAAGTGCTTCATTTGATTCCTACCTTGCAACGGGAAAAAAATAGCGAACGAGACTTAGAGCAAGTCTAGTGCTTGCTGTATCAGAATTGCATGCATCCACTTAGTGTTGTATCTTCGAAGTCCTTGGAGTCAGCCCTTCGTGCCACACAAGCATAGAGGATAATGATGATGAGTGTTGCATCTAATTAGCATTTGAACTTCAAGTTTTGTAACGGGTTTACATGATATATTCATGTAACCTCATTTCTAAAGCTATTCGCTTTTGGATTAGACCCCCAAATTATTCATGGATTCTACAAATATATATATACAGCTATATTCAAAAACATTGTCAAAAGTATGTCAAACTTTTTCGAGTTGTAAATAACTAGGGATTTCTGGAGAAAAAATATAAAAATATATAATAAAGAATTTGAAAATTATTAAATACATGTACTCATATATATATGATCACCCTCTATATATATATATACGCTATATATCACGCTTTGTGAGAATTTTTTTCTCATTTATTATGAAATCGTTCCCTAAGAAATTCATTTTATAAGAAAATTCAATTTATTTTTATTTTTTATTTTTATAATTAGGTATATATCTGACCGAGTTTAAACCATAAACTTTTATTTCTACAAAAATCGTAATGAAAAAGCATTACGGAAGAGGTGGAATGCAATTTAAACTTTTAAAAGTTCCTTCAAACTAACTAAAATGGGAATGAAAAGTGTTGACAATAAATAATAAATAAGAGTTGATTATTCTTTTTTTAGCAAAACGGGAGTAGTTATTCCACTGTTTTGAAGGTATAGACTGATATTTTTGACATAACCTTGTGCGTATATACCTTTCAATAAAACTATATAAATATATTTTCCCGTACGGCCCTCCCACTCAGTCAATAAGTACATAAAACCTTCTCGTGTCTAAATTTGATATCTCACTCGTGAGATATCAAATTCAACACTTGAAAATAACTTCCTTATCTCCCCGCGCCCATGTATTATTCTCTCTATTTATATGTCAAAGTTTTTGCGATTATATATAGAGGATATTACATGGGCGCGCGAAGATACGAAATTTATCTTCGAGTGTTGAAAAGATCTCTCACGAGTGAGCGCAGCGAACGAGTGAGATATTTTCAACACGAGAAGATAAATTTCGTATCTCCAAGCGCCCATGTAATATTCTGTTTATTATATAATTATCAATGAAGTATGTTTTKGCTTTTTCAGGCAATTCTTTCCGTGTATTTTTGAATAGTTATCGCAATGGTGTTATTTTCACACGTGAAAATAACATGTTATTTTCACGTGTGAAGATATCAATTTTTCGAAAAGGAGARAAATAGATATTTCATTGGTAATTATATAATAAATAGGTTTATTATATAAGTACTAAGATTTACATGTTCGCAAGCTATTTGATACAAATCATATCACAAAAGCGAGATGCGATCCTATTTGCTATACGTGAAGAACATCGTATCAGTACTGTGATTGGCTATACGATATTTTTCACTAGGGAAAAAAGTCGTATCGAGTTTCCCCGCGCTTCTTGCAGAAAGTGTCAGCTTGCSTTTGAGTGTTTGTTATCAAAAGTTCTTAAACATGGAAGGTTGTTGCTCAAGATTTGCTCAAATCGAGGTGACTCAATCACTGAGTTTATCGAGAGCCAGGAAAACGAAAACACTAGAACTGAAAAAGACACAGAACGACGTGGCACTCCTAAGGGAATTTTTACAAACGAAAGGAGAGACGAGGGCTATAGAACAGATTTCCTGCGAAAGAACTCAACGAATACTTCAGCGAATTCGTCCTCGGTGTCCGTAAGAAACAACCAGCCAACGAAAACTACGAACCAAGCTCTCTACGGGCTTTTATAGCTAGTTTTGAACGATATCTAAAAAAGAAAAATTATGGGGTGAGCATCATCAAAGACGCTGACTTTGAACAGACACGAAAAGCTTTGCAATCAAAGCAACGAGAACTCAAACAGAAAGGAAAAGGAAGTAAACCTAATGCATCCGATGCTTTGAGCGAAAACGAAGTCAAAATACTCTACGAAAAAAAAAAACAATTGCTAGGACTCTCGTCTCCTGAATCACTCTTAAATATATTGTGGCTTATTACCCTCCATTTTGGTCTTCGTGGATGTAAAGAACACAGAGACATGCGTTGGGGAGATGTTAAAGTGCTTATAAGCCTTTACACAATATTTTCATAATTGAGTCTTTAAATAGTGAATAGTTGATTGTGAAAATAAATCGTCATTTGAATGTCGGGTCTTTGAGATACGAAGGTTTATATTTCCAATATGTTAATGACTATGACGTAACATAAGGAATTTGAGTTATTTTGTGGCAACTTTTAATATTGAACACTGGAGATTTTTTGAAAACAAATTTGTAAGAACCTTTACGTGAGTCACGAGTAAAAGGGTGATGCTTTTAAAATACTGTATTCCAGAACAAGTGCAGTGTTGTATATTATATGATCCCTTATGTTACGTCATATTCATTAACATATTGGGAATAAAAACCTTCGTATCTTAAAGACCCGACGTTCAAATGACGAAATATTTTCACAATCAACTATTCACTATCTAAAGAATCAATTCTGAAAATATTGTGCAAAGGCTTATAAGTACTTTAAACTACGGCAAAACAGTCCCGACAAGGAGATAATCCTAGAGATATCAGAAAAATTTCTCCAAGAATGTATGCAGTTCCTGGAAGCAACAAAGATCCTGTTGCTGCCTATAAATTCTATGCTGAAAAAAGGCCGGTTGAGATGAATGGAGACGACGCGCCGTTTTATCTAGCGACAAACAARTGCTCCAAACAAGGTACAGGAAAACCGT